GGAACAGTATTATGGGCATGTGCCATGACCTCAGTGTTAAAGAAAAGTCCTGAGCAAAACTAATGTGCAAGTATGTTTAGGTGACAAAAGGAAGACTAGGGAAAATGTGGGCCCATTGCTCAGAGAGACAGACGCTGTGGTGACATGGGACATGGTAAAGGCTGAGGCACTGAGGGATGCCTTTGTCTCACTCTTTACTAGCAAAATGAGCCTGCAGGTCCCAGAGACCAGGGGAAAAGACTGGAGGAAGGAAAGTCTGGAGCATTTCTTCCCCTCTTTCTACTTCATTAGAAACAAAGACTAGATTTCAGGTCCCACCCTTGCTAGGATAGGGCCCTAAGGATTCTGCTGTTGGATAACTAGGCATATGACAAACAGCTCTCTGCTTATCCTGCTGATGTGTTCAATTCTGTATTAGTTAATGGAACAGTACTGTATAAAGGGGGACAGTGTATACTTCACTTAAGGCACACATCTGGGATGGGAGAGAATTAAGTTCAACTCCAGACTTAACAGAATACTTTATTATTTGTACAGAATAGGGGAGAATTCTGTGGGAAACTGAGGAGAACTGCATCAATCTAGTAATTTGGGGCACTATCATGCAATATGGAGAATATGGATCCCAAATTATATTACAAATAATTTATAAAATTGTAAATACATTTTTGTTTCCTGGATGACCACACTAATATTTGGAGGCAGAGTATTTGTTTGGTTAATTTTGTCATCACAAATTCCATATTCATTGTTTGAAGCTGAGCTTTTTGTTTGATCGTATAATAGATAACTATTATGTTGATACCTTATGGGTTACCTTTTTAAAAAATTAAACAAAATAGCATCACAGTAATTTTAAAAGATGTTATGTTTTTCCATAATGAAATATATCATTGCAATTACCCAGTTAAATCAATAAATATGAAAAACTTATTCCACAACACAGATGACAGTTGTTCAGGTGTAAGAACTGTATGTATTACTCAGAATAATATTTTCAAGTACTGTATCAGAAAAAATATCATAAATTATAATGTTATCAGCCTTCAGTTGTTTTTGGGACATGCTTATCTATCTATCTATCTCTATATCTATATATATATCTAAAATTATCATTTAGGTGAATGAGGATGTCAAAGTGTTCAAATTCAGTTCATAAGAACAGAAAATCTCTATCATATAGGAAATCTGTTAATATTGTAGAATATAAGTAAGGGTTTTTTCCTTTATTAATTCTGCAGTGTCCCCAAACAAATTACAGCTCACCTCTGCCTTGTAATAGGGCCTGTCCCAAAGACCTCTGAAGTCTCCAATTGCCTCAACAGGCTTTGGATCTGGCCCTAAAGTACTAATACCTTTGAGGAATGTCTATAGATAACCACTTAGTCAGTGCTGGTTTAAGGAAAGCAAAAGGAAATAAATTAAATGCATCTTCCAGTGACATAAGTCTCATGAAGAATTAACTAGGATAAGCACTTATTCTAGTTGGTGCACTGTCAATCTCAACAATGCAGACAAAAATAATAATTAAAACATAGCTTCATGCTGAGATGAAACTTTCAAGAGTGTCTACTGTGTTAAGCTTATGATTTTTCTGGTTTTGTATTTGCAAGCATAATTATGTCTCAGAGGCAACAGGAGCTAGTGCTTGTCAGTCCCCATTTACCCTCTGATAGGAGATTAATTTCTTTACACAGAAATCCAAAAGTTGATGTCAGAGCAATAATAATAATAAAGTAAACAAGTATTTTATTCTTTTAATCTGGAATGCATAATTTTAGGGCATAGTTATATAAATAATGAAAATATCACATCTACTTTAGACAATTAAGGGTAAACTGAAGGTAACATTTAATGTAGTATTGATTGACCATACCAAAAAAATGACAGCAGACATCTGTATGGATGAGAGCAGTTAGGAAAATGCTACCAAGTCTATCAATACAGATTAAGCAGGGGTGGGATGGAGCAGAGTTGATGGCTCAGAGTCCTGGTAATGGAATATGGAGCCTTTCACCTCCAGCACACTGACTTGAGCCAGCCTAGGTCAGTCTGTCACTGAAAGTCATTACCATCAGATGGTTCAGTGAAATGAGTTCGTCCTAATGGCAGGCTGTCTGTGTCAAAAATACACCATCTATCATGACTGACACCACGTTGAAACTTTCAGCTGGAAGGCTGGAAGGAAAGAGGATGGGCTCCACATTCCTTCTATCTCTGTGGGAAGCATGGGTAAGGACAGTTATCTGGGGGTTAAGAAATGTTGAGGTTTTAGAAATGTTTGATTTGAGAGACAGTGGTGTCAACCACTAACCTGACATAGAGTGAGAGGAAGGTACTTTTGCTGAAGAAATTGCAACTGAAACGTAAGACAAGACATGAACTAACAGGTAGAAATAGCAAATATGGGAGAAGCATGACAGGAGTCGGCTCAGCACACTAGCAGCATGAAGTTACAGTAGCTATCCTGCTGTAGGTCTCTTTTGGATAGATTTGAGAATAACAGTGTCACATGGGAAAAGCAAAACAGGATTTAAAAAAAAAAAAAAAAGTGCAATGAAAGCCAGAATTCTACGTTAGTCAGAGATGAAAAGCTCATATATAAAAACTAAGTGAAAACAAGAAGAGATAGGACTAAAGGATTTCAAAATGAAGGTGAAGTGTACACAGAGCAGGTAGAGAGATGGGAAACACTGGATAGATGCAAAGTGAGGAATTACATGGATAAAGGGATGAGCTAAGGCGATTATTTCTTTTAGCAACAATTCTGGTTGGATATGAGAAGAGCAAGACTGTATCTGTCAAAGCCACCAGAAATTACATTGTTAGGAAGTGACAGGAGCATAAAGAGAGTTTTAGCTTTGTTGTTAGATGGGGAATATTGTACCTTTTAGAAGTTCTGGAGTAAGGTATTGCCTGAAAGATTTAATGATAGACTGAACAGCAGTCCTAATTAAATAGCTGTTTTATTGGCAACATCCAGGCTACAGTTCTGGATGAGAGAAGGGGCAAAACTCTTACTCAATGATGGCAAAATTAATAGAACAATAATAATTAAGAACATTCTTTCACATCTTTGGGCTTAACCTGGTAGTTAGACATACATAAGGAGACATCAGCTTAGACAGTAGACAAGTCGTTGCATTTTGGGGAGATAGTTTTCTGTATCTGTGTTGTCAACTTGGAACAAAGATGTTGAGCATCATTTTCCAACCTTTTGTCTAAAACTAACTAAACTCTAAAAGCTCAAGAACTGCTTCTCAGAGCTTTGCAAAAGATAAATAAAGAAGCCTACTTTCAGTGGGCTTAACTGAACTTCTATTAAAAAATCACAAATCATAAACTTGGAAACCACTGCCTACAAGAACAAAAAGGGACAGATTCTTGTCAAATTATCAGAGTAAGCTGAAGATCTTTTGAAGGAATGAAAAATAGGGGAAAAACCAGGGAAAGAGTCACTGAAAACAACACCTGATACATTTTCTTCAAAATTTTGTGAGCTAAAACCATTTAAGTTAAAAATACTTTTGGAGTTGTAAATTCATCTGCTCAAGGGATATGACACAAATTGATGAGTGTAGCAAGATCAATAAAAATTACTCTCTGATTGACATACACTTCAGTTATAGTTACATAATAGTAATGGTATCCATCCTGTATTTATACCTGTAAGAGAGATTTAAAATATTTCAAGGGATGTATACTTCACCCAGGCTGCTTCTTATCCCACAAAAAGAAGCAAGTCTGTTTGTAGTACTTCATCTAAATGTAAACTGCCATTCTGAACAGTGGGAATGCCTTCTCTGCAGAAGAAACCTGCAATGGGAAACATTTTTCCCATAAAATGAAGATTAGGAATGAAGAAATGAAACAGTGAAACTAAAAATGAGAAAACTTCTCAGGAATCCTTTTCATGAAACTGTAATTCCTTGACTTCTTTATGGATTCAGTTTCGAGGCTGCTGGGCATACATAAGTTTATTACTTAGAAGAATGACTTGATGGTGAAATTAATACTGTGATTAGGTGAAATGAATATTGTGATTAGGTGAAATTGTGTCCAGTTTTGGTTACCACAATATAGGAAAGATATTAAGCCATTAGAGAGTGTTCAAAGGAGGGTAATGAAAATGGTGAAGGGCTTTGAGGGGGAACCATACAAGGAGTGGCTGAGGTCAGTTGGTCTGTTCAACCTGGAGGAGACTGAGAGGAGACCTTGTCGCAGTCTACAACTTCCTCAGGAGGGGAAGAGGAAGGGCAGGCACTGATCTCTCTTCTGTGGTGACCAGTGACAGGACCCAAGGGAATGGCCTAAAGTTGTATCACGGGAAGTTTAAGTTGGATGTTAGAAAAAGTTTCTTTCCGCAGAGGGTGGTTGGGCACTGGAACAGGCTCCCCAGGGAAGTGGTCACAGCACCAAGCCTGACAAGAGTTCAAGAAGCGTTTGGACAATACTCTCAGGAACATGGTGTGAGTCTTGGGGATGGTCCTGTGCAGGGCCAAGAGTTGGACTTGATGATCCTTGTGGGTCCCTTCCAACTTGGCATATTCTGTGATTCTGCGAAATGAGGTGAAACTGAACTAGAACCAGATGTTCTTTGCTACTAGAACTCACACAGACAAACACCTCAGCAATGGTTTAGATAATGCAAAATCATGTAACTGAAAACACGGATTGTATATTTCTTCATATTTATTTACTTTGGTTGTGATTACGCAGTCAAAATTCATGTATTCCAGCTATTTGAATGTGATTGCCATTTTGCACATAATGCTACATTCAAATATCCATGAGCATAGTCATGACTTGGGTTTAATTGAATCATAATAAACCAATCAAGAAATCAAAATAAACTATTAAAATATTTTATATGTATATGATTCCTGGCTTACTATTAGGAGTCTGAATGAAATAAATTATTGTTCAGAATTCTGAACACAGAAGTTAGAAAAATCAGAGGAGGTGCTCACAGTGGATGTGACAACACCAGCCCCAGAGGGGGACAAGATTGCTTGGGAAGAAAATGTAAGGTCGTGTTCAGTGAGCCGCCATGTTCAAAGCAGCTAAACACTCTTAGTGTGAAATTTCTCGGCAAAAAAAAATGTACAAGAACAATTTTGTGTTTCATCACTCAAAATCAGGACAGTCTATCTTTCTAGGAAAGCTGTATCATTTGAGCTATTTATTAAGCTTGCTACAGAAATGACTGGAGAAAACTCTGTGGTTTAGTATGCATGCCAGATACAAATTGAGTCATCAACTTTTCTGTAGGCTCGCTCTCCACTCTGTATGCGTGTCACCTAGAAAGATGGGAAAGTTCAGCTGGGTACGGTTTTCACTTCCGAACTTGCAGAGGTAAACAAATGCAAATATTTCTTTTTCGTGTATCTTTCCTTACAGGGGAGTGTTACACTTGGTTATCAAGAGCCATTTTGCAGGAACCAAGGCATGCACTAGCAATACTAATCAGTAAGCTGTTCCAAGAGTCAGTGGCTTGCTTCTTGCACTGAAGTAAAGCAATTATCTGTTGTAGAGGACCTAGCATCATCTCAAGGTGGCAAAAAAATTATCTGACAGGGTTCATAATTTGCCATGTGTTATGGTTTTATGACCTTAAGTTCCCAATTAAGTGGGATTGTGATGGTGACCATCGCAGGCTGAAACTAGATTATCTTTACGGTCCCTTTCAATCCAAACCATTCCGTGATGTTAAGGTGTCTAATTGGTTTTCACTCTACTTGTCTGGAGCAACAATTCGGACACAAGTAGGATATAGCAGTAAAAAGCGAGCAGAGGGCGTGAACGGGGTATGCTGACACACTCCACGGCTGAGCTTTCAGCCTCCCTCAAAACACTCTCCCCACAAAATCCAAAGAGACAATCGAGGGCCGCAGGCAGGCGGGAACCCTCCCGTCGCCGCACGTGCCGCGGAGCCGGGCCGTCCAGGGCCGGGCAGGGCGGGCGACCGGGGCGGGGGGACGCTGGGCAGACCGCGGCGGGAGCCCCGCTAGCACAGGAAGTCGCTCCGCCGAAAGAGGAGGAAGAGGCAGGATCGGAGCTGTGCCGCTCGGCCCCGAGGTACCCGCCGCGCTCCAGACAGGGCGAGGGGCCCCAGTTCGCCGGGCCGCGGGGCTGTCACGGCGGCCCGCCCCTCCCCGCCCGCGGGGGGCGCCGCCATTGGCCCCGCGCAGGAGCCGCCCGCCAGCGCGGCCAGCACGCTGCCCGCCGCGGCGCTGCGCGGCCATTGGCCCGCGGGAAGCGCTCCGCGCCGCCATTGGCCGGAAGCGCGCGCTGCCAATCGGGGCGGCCCCGCCCCCGGAGCGCGGAGCGGGGCCAGGCAAAAAAAGCGGCCGCGCTGTCCTGTCCGGGCTGGGGGTGCTGCCCTCACCGCAGGGAGCCTCTCTTGGCTGCCTGGGCTGCTTTTCCGTGTACCATCGAGTGTGCCGCGCTGGGGTCCCTCACCAGGCTACCTGAGGGAAACAAACCCCCCGTCAGGGTCTCGGCGGCCTTTGTTGCAGGTCTGGCCCGGGCCCGCCACTCTGGCCGAGCTGGCTGAAGCCCGCGATGCTTCCATGGGAGAGTAGCTCGCGGTTTTCCCTCGAGAGCGCGACTCCGCCCGTGCTGACGGGCAGTGGGGTGTGGTTGGTGTGAAACCCCGCCTGCCCGGGGTGTCGCGGTGGCTGGAGGTCGACAGTCCGCCGCTCTGTGTGTGCTGACCCCAGGCGCTCAGCGAGGGCGGGACGGGCCGGAGCCGCAGCACCTGCGGTGTGTGGCGGTGCTGGGTGTGTTTGGCCGGCTGTGGGTGTGCACTAAATCTGATACAACCCGGAGTTGTTGAGCTGGCGGTGTTTACCTTCCAGGCGTGAAGCGTTCCGGGTACATTGGGCTCCTTTGTATTTTCTGCAGAGTGCGCTGGTCATGGTTGCGCTCAGAAAATCCTGGACGGAATTATGTGAGAATATGTGAGCTGCAAAACTTCTGAATGTGAGGTGTTGGCAGGGGATTCTGCCACCGTGTTTGTGTGACTCGGAAGCTGCTCCACCTTCCATCAGCCTGCACAGTTACGAGGACAGAGCACAGCAGTACCAGAAAGCCCCTTTGAAAGACCTTATGGTGTAACTGGGCTGTATATACAGCACACATGTTCACACTCAGTAATTCAATTACATTTCTTGCAGGTTTTGAGTTCTCCCCTGTTGGGGACCAGGCTCATTCCTAAATAGCTAATCAGAATGAAAGAGTGCCTGTTACTAAAGATATATTGACTTTCATCCAGCCTTTGCTACTGATATGTGACTTCTATAGTGGAAAACTGTATACAGTGATTTTTAAGGGATACACAAAATTCTACAAATACGGGGAAAATTGAACCATTTTTTAAGTATTGCTGTTTGGCATGTCATCCTTGGCTGAATCACTTCCCGTTGAATCACAAAATAGGCTAGGGACAAACTTCATTGTTCAGAAAATAGTTTGTCTGTTCACGTAAGGAAAAACTTGGCAGGTTTTTTTTGTTGGAATGATCATCTTTGATCATGAATTAGTACTATTTACCTTGTGGGACTTCTTTTCTGTCTTCATGGAAGCAGTGAAGTTCTAAATCTACTTCAGGTCAGTTCTGTAAGTGTGAGCATAGAGAAAACAAAGTGTTGACTTTGAAATAAATTAATACAAACAGTTGACAGTTTTTTAAAAAAAAGGTGAGTTGCTCACTTTTTTGTTATTTTTCCCTCGGTATGTAAATCCCTTTTGTAATTTATTTTCTAATTTGTAATTCTATAATTTATGTATAGTCTTCTAGCTAAACCTGTTTGAGCAGGGATAGATGAGCACAAATAGATTGCCTCAAGAGGTTCTTTTCAACATCAACAATCCTGTAATTCTGTGAATTTGATTTATTAATGTAGCCAAGTAGAGATTACAACAAGGTTCTACAATTGACTTCTTAGTCTGCTTAAGTTAGTATTTTGTATCTGCAAAAACAATACAGAAAATACTCAGTTACTGTTTCAATGCAGATGTGGGAGCTCTTCAGATATCTAGATTTGGAAAGATTGCTTCAAATCAAATGACTAAAGCAGAGATTCCTGTTAACATTGGTAAAACTCCCCATATAATTAGCTTTAATTCTTGTATCAAATTACATACAAAGATGTATATGTCTTTCTGTTAAGTCGCATAAAAACAGGACTATTTCAGAGGAGCAGCTGAATTCCAGAGTTTAATTACTGCATTACATTGAATGACCATGATTTTTCCATACATCTTTCCTTAAGAACATACTTTAGCAAAAGGTAATATGCAAGGGGATACATACTTTCTTCATAAAATCAGGAGTAAAGGCAGTGATTTTATTACTGGGGCTTTTTTGGTTGTTTGGTCTTTCTTTTTATAAACCTGAATGATACAGAATAAGCTTATATGCACTCGAAGGTTCCACACTGACTTCTGCCCGTCCTGTGACTTCATAGCTCTCGCTGTTACACTCTGAGGCCTTTTCAGAGATGGAAGCCAATTTGTGTGCCAGTTTTGTAGCAGGTACGGGAAAATCCTCCCTGTTGGTCACAAGTACAGAATGGAGACTAGTCATGTAAGCTAATCTGTCAACCTGTGGTACTGCCCAGAGTATCTTTAGGATTTACTTAATTCAAATATTTCAGCCAAATCCCACAGCCCAGTCTAAAGGGCAATTTAAGCTCACTGTACTCTATTGCAGCAGCTCCAGGAAACCTCTAGTCTACACAGAAAACAAGACAAGGCTTTTATATTTTTTGCTGTGCAGTGCAGGTATTTTCCTTGGATTTTTCTGTGAAATTTGTTTCTTGAGACCATGAATTAATATTGGCTAGATAATTTTAAATGTCTTTAAAAATGAATCAATACCATCAAGATTAGTTAGAGTTAATTGCAGTTAGATTTTCAGAGTTTCTGTGAGATTCTTCTCATAACTAGGAAGTTGCTTTGTGGGTTTTTTCCTTTGCAATATTTCCATATTAATCTAAATTTTTCATTAGGCATGACAAGCTGTGAATTATAGATGAGGATAGGATACTTCGGAAAGTCTTTATATGTTGCTAAAGTGTTCTAATGTTACAAAATTAGGTTACTTGTTAAAAAACCCTAAACCAGTTGAATATCATCTTGAAGAACTGAGCCACCGTGTTAAGGACTTAGGAAGAATAAGTGAATTGTTGTGTTTACACATTATGAGATACATAGAGAGATTGCAACATAGATGGTTGTAAGGTATAAATAAAGAAGCCAATGATTTCCATTTGCAGTAGAAGTCTCCCTCAATCCTCTGACTCTCATACAATACTACTGTTGTAATGCAGTTACTCCTGAGAAACAAGACTATGAATGTCAATGTTATCTGACACAAATGCAGCTTTAAATTTTTCTACTCTTGTGGATTTTTTCATTTGCTTGCAGGTTTACTTTTGATTGAGGAAAAAATGTGAAGAGATTTATGGAATAAATACTAACTGTCATTTTTTTTTAATAAAAAATGAAGTGTATTTCAGTGAATAGCTATTCTCGTTTCAGATGAAGTCTGCAATGATTAAATATTAAAATGATCCATGGTTCAAATTAATATAAAAACTTTTCAGGACATTATTACAAAGATTAACATGTTTAATGTTTTAATACTTACATAGTTTATCAATCACAGACACAGTGAAACTGTTTTTAGTTATGAAGCTGATGATCCCATATATTATTGCAGTATTATGTACAACATATCTTATGTATCTTACAGCTCTTTAATAACCAGTTTTATTCTTGACGTATTTTTTGACACACAAAATAAGCAGTAACATTTTTTTTCCGTTTTGAGAAGATAAAAAGAAAGGGTATTTCTGTAAAAACTGTGGTGTTTGCCATTGAGGAAGGAACTCTGTTTCACATAATGACAAACACAGATGGTCACTGGTACAGCAACAGAAGAAGAAAAAGTTCTTGCTTATGTTTCCAAATAGGTGTTGAATTAATACAGCTTTAATATCCCAAAATTATCTGCAACAGCCTGATACATTTTTATTTGTTAGAGTTATGTTTGAAGGTCATGTGAAAATGTCAAGGCATCCCAGGTGCTTTTGTATCACTAGCTGTGCAAAGATGCTCCTGTAGTTGAGTAGGTTGAGTAAACACTTCAGGCATTCTTGACATGGACAGTGCTAATTCCTTTGTTTCTCATTTCTTTTTCATTTTTTTTAGCCACAGGGCTAAAAATCAGCATTAGTGATTTTTAAGTTTTATTCTGCCTCTCTAACTACACACTGCAGTGATACAATGGAGCTTTACGCAATACAGTTTATTGTGTCCCAGGACTTTTTGCAGTTTTAAATATGATAATTCATACGTCAACAAAATATTGTTTATACATGTGTTGTGATTGTTCTTGTCATCGTCTTTCACTCAGTATGTTTTACCATCAAAACCAAGGCAGAATTGGGAAGAAACACTGTGGTGAATTAGCCAATGTAAACCCAATAGCAGTTGTAAAGAAGGATGGGAAATGGGAAAGGAAGGGAAGGGTGCAATAGAAATTGCACCTGGAGAAGTGAATAAATGGGGAAAGACTGTTCTGACAGCAGAAGCTTATGGTGGGAGAAGTCCTTTACAGCAGAAAGGACAAGTGTGAGAGAGGAAAAGAGCAGAGGTTAGCACTAATATTGAGAATAATAATTTAACATTGGGAATGGTATTGGGAAGTTAAAATCCAGAGGGCAAGCTGAAGCACACATTTTGTACACAAGTTTATTGTCAGCTATTAATGCTGTTATTTCTAGTCTTAGGTAAGACAACAAAATAAAAGGTGGCATTTGTGTCATCTGTAGTTGGTTGCCTCTAGCCAGAAACCAAATTTATCCTCATGTATTTCTGTTGAAATCAAATAAATAATGGAACAAAATAATAACCTTTTATGTCACAAACTGGTTTTTATACTGGGAAAACAGATTGGGTTGGAAATGTAATAGATTTCAAAGTTTCAATTGTTTTCTCTCCGGCTGTCTTGTGTGGTGTAAATGAAGAAAAGGTTAAGTCTACCCATGATAATTCCTTCTCACATTTATGCTATCAGTCTTTGTATCTTTTTGTGCTTTTATCTGTTGTGTTTTCATTGTAATCTTTACATGTGAAGTTCTCAATTCTACAAACTCTTACACTGAAATTTATTCACAAATGGCTCTGACAGATGTGCTCTGGAAGCCTTAGATGCTGTGGTTTAAGATGCTGCCAGCTGGTCTCTTATCCCCACTCCTCAGACTGCAGTCTGGAAGGAAGTGCCAGCAATACCTGTGCCTCAGTTCACTTCCCTTGCCTGAACTCACATTTCTTTTGGGTGACTTGTGCTGATGCAGAGGCTGGGAATGGGATCCCAGGTCCTGGGGGCAGATCTTACACCTTCTTGTCCTTTCTTACAAGTTACTCCAGCAGAAAGATGATTAAGCACCTGGGTCAGCAACATCTTACAGCCTCTCAGACACTCAAAGTTTGTTTATGAGACCCCCCTGTATTTTTAAGTTGAACATGTTTAAAACTTTCTATTTTAAATTACCTGTATTTTCAATTTGTTACTGTACCAAGTCAGTGTGGAGGACATTTCCATACTTGGTTTTACCATACCAATCTCTACTTAGTAAACACCCCATGGTTCTGTCTGCTCTTAAAAGTGATCATGCCTAAAATCTTATATTAAAAACAACAGATCTTTCTTTCATATAATATGTATGCCATAGAAATTGTTCTGGTTTTAGTGTTGCTCTCATTGTGTGTGGAGCTGATTATGTTGCCTCCAATTAAGATTGCATCAGTTACTGCTAGACCAGTTTTGTATTACTTATGCTCTTGCCAAAAGGAAATAGTTAACCTGAAGCAGTGTTTTGTTTTATTTTTGTGTGTTGACTGTCAAACTGAAAGTACATTATTTATATAGCTAACATTTAAATTTGATTAGGTCCTTGATTTACTGTTACTCAACTAAAATTAATTTTAAAATTAGGACTGTACAGTAAAATAAAATGGATAAAGAGCTGGTGAGCTGCCAGCACTCAGAAATAATGGGTGGAAGGCCACTGTCAAAGGTTGAGAGTGTTGAGGACTCTCCCCAGTGTTGGTGTCAAGTGTGATGTGCTTTGCAGTTTTGGTCAATTGTGTGTATAAAAACATAAAAGCAATAGTGACAAACAGGGGATGGTTCAGTGATTGCTGGACTGATAAAAAAAAAGATGTTTAAAGCAAGGCTGAGATCATGGTAACAGGAGTCTGTTAAAGTGCAGTTTATCTAGGTGTGTGGAGGAGCAAGGAACGCTGGAGGTGTGTGCAGAATGGAAGATTTTTATCTTGTAAAGCTGTGACTGAGGGAGGACTTGGGGGTTAGTGAGAAAGTTCCTGTAGCCAAAGGGGATTCAAGTGCATGACAGTGTCGAGAAGAGCTGGTGCTGCCTAGTAGAGGTGAGAAGAGAGGCAGGAGCATGGTTTAAATCCCATTAATAATACCAGGGCTGGAATGTTGCATCTAGTTTTATTTCTGTGAAAACCATGTCCTGAAAAATTTGAAAGCATGATGAAGGTCCCGAAAGACACAGACTTAGTTCTGTTAATAGCACTGCCCTTGGTAGGTGGGCTTGAGAGTGGGTTCTGGTTTGTTGTGTTCATTCTGACCCCAGGTCTGCCCTACCTTGCCCACTGTGGAGCTCAGCAAGCTCTGTTACTTCTCCCACCCACCTGCCTGCTTCGGAGGCCCTCCTACATACATATTGTTGAGTGTCCTAAGTGAGGCTGTGCTACATCTGTGTGAATTTATCGTTTCTTCCCTTTTTCAGAGGATGTGAAAAGCATTGTTTCTATTTTGTTGTGTATATATGTATATATATATGCAGCATGGAAAGCTTTTTAGAATATGCGTTTCAACTAACTTAAGTATGGTTATAATGGAACCGCTAAGAATTGCAGCAGCTGATAATTTAGTGAGTTTTTTAGTTCTGAAATCACAGGGTGGTCAGAGCAAGGGTGGATGTTGCTTTCTTTGGAATTTTTTGACATGTTATTTAATTTATGAATGAATCTTTCTGTAAATTGGAGTGGAAAGGTTAATAAAGCATTCTTACTTTTTTAAAAAAGCTGCTTACTTTTTTATCTGAAACATAAGATAATTTGAAAGCCTGTGTTATTTCAGTATCTTTCTGGGTATATGAAGCTAGAGACCAATAGGCTAAATAGGAAGAGGGTATTGGAGGAAAATTATTATAGAGACAAAATCTATTGAAAAGAGCTTAAGACTATTTTCATTTTAAGTACACCAGTGGGGTTAAATAATATTAGTAACTTCTATTAGAGTAACAGATCATAATAATTTAAAACAAAAGTTCCCAGCGTACTTGCTAATATCCTTTATGGCTTCAGTAAAACACATATGAAATAATTTACAAAGCAAAGCTTCTGGATGAATTCTTCCAGCTCTGCACGGGAAGAGTGCCTGTTTATCTTCATGCATGTTTATAGAGACCCATGGAAATTATGATCTAAATGTGGGTACCGTACTAAAACATAGCCATATATGCATAGTAAAGAATTCAAAGCACT